TGTGGCAGAGTCCCCATCACTGGAGGTTTTTGAGGTGTGGTTGGACAGGGTGCTAGATCGTCTCATCTAGGCTCCCCTTCCCATGAAAGGGTGGACCAGATGATCTTTTGAGATCCCTTCTGGGATTCTCTCTTCACAGGTGTTTGCAACAGACATTAAAATCAGTCAGCAGAATTGCAAGTTCTTGAGACCTGAACATTACATTTATCCAGGACATTTCAGCTCTTATAAATATTTGAGGGAAAGTAGGATGAAATATCCAGAGTTGATATTTATTACATTATGAAGACTACATAATGAAGAGTTTTTATTTACCATTTTATTCTAAACTAGTTATTCTTATTTATTTCTAATTTCTATCCATTATAGTTTGCATTCTGAGTCTTCTATTTCTGCCCCTTCCTCAACAAATTTAATAACTGTATTTAGTTAAAATATAACTTTATTCATTATTCTTTCAAAATTCTCAATAGAATTTATGGATTATGTGCAAAGAATTATTTTAAATGAAAACTACATTTAGCATTTGCCTGATGTTATAATGTGTTTATAATCCTTCATTTGGCGACTAATTTGTAAAATGTCATAATTACTACTGCTACAGAAAAGAAAGCGTTTTTGAAAGCCTCACTTCTCAATTTGCATGGTAACAATTACATGAAAGTGCGTATTTACTACTTTGAATTAGAAACTTGATATTTAACATGCAAGTAAGTCAGTTTTAAGTGTGGACATCCATGCATAGATTAGATTTTATATTGGGATTCAGTGGAACAGGAATTCCATTCCATGTCGTCAAGGGCATTAACTTTGAAGCAGTGTAACGTGGTCTCTACTTCATATTTTTCCCAGAAACGGGCCTGTTAGTCGCATTTCCCATGCAGTAGGAGTAATCCAAATTCTTAAAATACAAGGTTATTTTTTTTTGCTCAGGAATCTGTTGATTTTTGATGCTTTGAAAAGGCTGATAGCAGATTTTTGTCTGTTTAGCAAGGTGGGAGGTAGAATAAATTAATTTTGTGTCCTTTTTTTTAGGTGTTTTATTTTTTCCTAGTAAGATTCACCTTCATGCAATTAAAATAATTTTGTGTCCATTTTACCTAAATCTGGTCGGTCACTGAAGAGTACTTAGGTCTCTTCTCTGTATCGTTTTTTCTCTGGACAACTCATTTTTTCAGTTCACTTGCATTTGGACAGGCAAACTCCCTCTCTCCGCTGTGACTGTTAGAAGTAACGTGACAGTCACTCGTGTTAGTTTAAGACTGCAGAGATGTGTCCAAGACGTTTGGCATCCAGGCATGGGCAGTTCCTCCATGCTTTCTGCAGAGGACTTGTAGGGGTTGAGTCGGCACCTCGGCTGGAGCCCTGTGCAGTGCCCCACGGGACACTCCTCCTGGCTGCAAGAGGTCGGAGCAAGTGTCAGGGGTTCAGTCCGATAATGATGCTCTTTGTGTCCATTTCCACAGGGAAGAGTTATGTCACGTTCTTTACACAAGGTCCAAACTGCCTTTTTGAGAAATGCGTCTTCCAGACCTTTCTGTGTGTACACAGATCGTGTGCTGCGGCTCTCTCAACGTGTCGGCCTTGGGCACTCCGTAAAACCCCGCATCTGGCAATTGTTTCTGTCATATTATTGACTCTTGACTAGCGCTGAACACATAATCTGTTTGAATTTTGAAAAGCTGGAATAATCCTGAAAATTTTCTGCATTGGGCAGTTGACTGCAATCTATACACAGCGCTGTTTGAAGGCTGAGCCTATTATAGTGTATGGACTTTTAAAGTAAAGAGTGTTTTCATTTTTGTCCTCTGTACTGAAAAAATTTACATATGGTCTCGTATAGAAAAACAGGTGTGCAAGGAATTATTTTAGCAATATCTGAGAGAGCCAAATAAGGCAAGCAGTTCAGTATGGCATAATTAGGTTTTCTTCTGTTTACAATTTTAGAAGAAGAGGTTACAGGAAACTTAGAGGACAAGGTATTTCAAAATGAGAATAGTTACATTAATTTTCTTGGCACACGAGGTATGTAGTGGCTAGAATGTAAAAATGATTTATCTTTTGGCTTGGGGATATAAGGATAAAAAGTGTATTTTGAGAACTTGTTTTCATTTTGTAAATTCTCTTAGGTGTTAATCAGAAATTCTGTTTTAGGTATTTCAAAAAGACGAAGAGTAACAGATGAATGGGAACTGCGTGTTCCTCTGGAATACGGGTAGGTTCTGTATCTACTTGATATTCCTTAACAGGAGATAGCACCTTTGAAAGTCAGTTGGTAAAGAAATGACCGTTTAAAAATTTTTGAGGCTGAATAATAAGGAAAGGGCTTCAGCGATGTAGATTTCCAGCTCACAGTGAATGTGGATCTCATTAAAAGTGTCAGTGTATTTCATGTGCTAATCTTTGTGCATCAAATTTGCTCTTTCGCAAATATGACCTGTGTCTTAGCAGTTTTGCCACTGGAAGTTAATCCTGACGGTTAGATCTGAGCCAGTATAGACTCTAAATAACTCCCTGAAATATCGTTCTAAGCCATTTAAAATCTGTTAATATTTAAGTAGCTTGATATAAATAAATCCATATATAGTCAGAGTTTGGGCAATCTGCAAAATAACAATTTCTGGTTTTGTCTGTTTGATTTATGGTACTCTTGTCACATTTTAGATCTGTGCCTATTTCCTTTTATGTAAAAATAATAAATTGATGTTAATTGCTTGTTTTTTAAAAAGTGTATTGTTGTATGCAACTATTTCATATTATTCTAGCTGGCAAAGAGAAACCCGAATAAGAAACCTTGGTGATCGTCTTCAAGGAGAAGTAGCGTATTTTGCACCTTGTGGAAAGAAGCTGAGACAGTATCCTGAAGTAGTCAAGGTATATTCCATTTTTAACTTCTGTGTTCCAATGCTGCTAAGCATGCTTGCAATTAAAACATGCCATTTTTTCCCTTCAATAAAGATACTTATATCAAAACGTCCTGTGATGTGAGGCATAATGTATCTCAGTCTGTTACTGATTTGACCTCCTGTAAATACATATCCCTTTGATAGAATATGCAAAACATTACACTCACAAAGTTAGCTGTACTTCAAAGCTGGGTTGTAATTATTTACAAGCTGAAGTGGAAAAATATGTGATTTTTTCAGTATCTCAGCAGAAATGGAATAATGGATATCTCAAGGGACAATTTCAGCTTCAGTGCAAAAATAGGAGTGGGTGACTTCTATGAAGCCAGAGATGGACCGCAGGTATCCACTTTTTAAAAAGTAAAGTCTTTGATCCAAGGAACATGAACTTAAATTTAGGTGAAGTAACTTTTGCTACAATCAGAAGCGTTGCCTGTTTTTAGCTAACTCTTTCTCAAAATTGTGCGTATTTCTTAGTAGTAGTTGTATTGAGATGCTGAGAGCTTGATCCTGGGCAGTGTTGAAAACCGCTCCTTTCATTGATTTTATTGGAGGTTGCAGGAGTTCGGCATGTCTTACGATCAGCTCTGAGCCTGGATTTGTCTAGTACGAAAGAACTCTAAGCTATATATTTTATTTTAGTTAGTATTCAGATATTTCTGACTAAAACTCTATTTCTTCCTTTACCACATAAACCTAATATTGATAGTAATTTATGTGTATGTGTTAAATCACGCTCTTTTCTTGTATTCGTGTGCATAATATATAAAAAATATGTGAACGAGTGTTTCCTGTATCGAGAATACCATCTGAGCTTCCTGAAGCATGAGATTTTTACAGGAAGGAATGTTGAGTTATGCCAGTTATGCTTTACAGTGGTAGAACTGTTAGACTTTGTGTGGATAAACTACACAAGGATAAGTACAATTAGACTTTTAAAGAAATTAGTACTGTGTTTGTGCCATACTGTGTTACTACTGTATTTGGTCATGTTGCTATTTCTTCAGGATGTGCGTGAAAGTTTTTGAACTTTTGTCCGTGAATGTATTTGCTGCTTTGAAAGAGGAGTGTCCTGAATATGGTACCCCAGGAATGTGGACAGACATCACACCCTCAGCAGGCTTGAATTCAGGCTCTAGTTAAGCTTTATGTCCTTGTGATACCCTGTAGAAATACATAACGTTTACACAGTATAAAAAGCAACAAAGACAGAGTTCACAGTAAGCAGCTACTTCTAGGTGGTGCTTTCTGATTCCTGGCTTATAGGGCAAGCATTGCTAAATCCTCGTCACATCTGGCCTTCATGAAACAACAGCTACAGGGTCATGTAGTTGTGAACTTCATTATGTACCTGAATGGTTTGATTGCCATAATTCCTTACGCTGTGAATATAACGTTAACAGGGAATTAACGTTAACAGGGATTCTCTGGTTATTTCTTTCCTCTCCCTTTAATTCATGAGGTGGTTTTCAGATTTTACCCTTCTTTGATACTATGACACTTCAGAACGAAGGCAGCAAGAAGGGCAGGTTTCTGGAGGCAAGGCTGGCAATATGAGTGTTAAGTTGCTGTACATCTCACAGTTGTTTCTGCTTTTATAGTTTGTGGTAGGTTCCATTGAGACTTGGTGAACAAAGGAAAAGTTTTATTGTAAAGCATAAAGCTGTGAAAATAATGGTGTCGTGGTGTGGTTTCCCTCCCACCCCCGCAATGAGTCTGAATACTTACCTAAGAAGGCAGCTGAATTCAGGGAAGGAGGAAAGTGCTTAAAGTACTTTTTCCCATCTCCTTAGTATGAAGTGGCTCCTCTGTACGTTAGTCTTTCTCAGAGTATCCTGTTATGATGCTGCCTCATCACAAATACAGTGCATCTTTATAAGTGTCAACTCTGCCTCTTTTAAGACAATTCTGAAGCTTACTGTTGTTTACTGAGGAGACTTATTCTGTGCATAAGCATTAAGAAGTCTCAAGTGTTCAGTACAGGCGCAGTAGACATACCATACGGGACAGCCCGCTGTCGTATGCCTTTGTAATGTGGGAGTAATTATTTTTTTTTCTTTTCTAGAAACTGGAATGTAAACTGTTTGCCCTGTTGTGAATTCTGCACTTAATTTAGAAAACTTTGTTGTTTTTCTCACAAATCTAATCTGGATTGAATGAGGATGTCTGCTTCTTGCAGAGTGCCCATGGTTTTGTTTGTTGGCTTGGTAAACAGGCTTTGAGCTTTGTTCTGGTTCCATGCACAGCTACCTGCTGCCTTTTTGGCAAGTGTCCGGATTACAGTATTGCAGCAGGTAGTAGATGCCTGAAGGTGGGAAATTGTATTAGCTTTTGATTAGTTTCAGCAATAAAACACAAGATTTCACGGTGTTATTCCCATTTTTCTCTAACGTTTGTGTAGTGAAGCTCGGATTTTATGGAAGCTCCTGATTCTCCTATGTTGGGGCGGAAGCCCCGTGTTTTTTTCTTTGGAATACTGAAAATCCGCAGAAGATCAGATTGTACATTCTTTCAATAGGAATGTATTTTGGGTCAGATTTTAAAAGATACGTGAGCACAAAATATAGATGGTCAGTTAACTCCTGCTTGCCCCTTAATGGGTCTGTTCTGGACGATTTTTGTCTTGTCCTCTCTTAAACTTGTGAAAACTTGTTGCTTCCACAATGTCCTTTGGCAGGACAGTAAACAGTCTTCTCCCCATTCCTTGAAACACCAGCTCCTTTTGCTTCTTGAACCTTCTGCGAACTTCACTGGATGGCCTCTCGTTTCTTTTCTGGGAGGCATCGGGGAAATGTAAAGTACATCCCCAGCCCTGTGGCACTGATGATCTTGTAGACCTCTGTCTTAAACTTCTGTTTAAGTGGTCGAGGTAACTATTTTGGATTGCTTAGTGACGACGCGTTGTACACACAGCGATATGGTTATGATCCTGAACAGCTTGTTTTTAGGAACATGGGTAATAACAAAACCATTTGGAACGTCTGTAAACTAGGTGTGAGATGTACTCTTGGGATGGTCTTAACTGGGAGCGATTCAGACTTCAAAAGAAGGTGTCTGTGCGGATACTGATAGCTTCCGTGGAATCTGAATGTTTCATTAGCAAAATGCCATTTCTTTTGTCAAATCTTATATTAAACATTTGTAATTATGAAGAATGTGCAGAAAGAATTAGAAGATAAATTGTCAGAATAAGCAAATTAAAAATGTATTTTATGGTACCACAAATTTTATTTCAGTATTTATGTACTGTACATATAAATGTGAAAACTTTGTTAATGCAAGTGTATTTTTTCTGAACAGATGTTTAATTAATGTGTTTTGTAGGTTACCAAATTTCGTTCTTGCTTCAGCAGACATTTTCAAAATCTTTTACAAATCTTTTTAAGGCAAAATATGTAGTAGTCCTGAAGGATACTCAGCTTACATTTTTTCCCCTCATTTTTCAAAAACTTGGGAAAATGGTAGAAGAGGTTACAATTTTGAAATACTCCTTTTCCATCAAACAGGATCAAATAGGCTGTGCTCCTGTTCAGCTCGGGAGATGCAATAAACTCTACTTGTCATCAGTTAAAGCTGTTTCTGTGAGAGGACTAACTTGGGTATTTGTAGTAACAAAGTACTTCAATATTTGTATTTGAGATTCCACAAAAACCCAGTAGTAATAGTGAAAGAAAGGGTTGAATGTATCACTGTGTTCTTTATTTAGTTGGAGAATATAGCTAACGTAACTTCAGATAGATGATTCTTTAAAGTTCTAAACTTTTTATTGCTTCAGGTTGGTGCAGAAATTAATTTTCTTGCAGTGGATGAGGGGAGAACTAAATTGTACTAAACAAGCCTTCAGGCTTGTCCCTGGTGCTTAGGGACATGGTTTAGTGAGTTAGGTGGTGTTGGGTTGGACTTGATGATCCTTGAGGTCTTTTCCAACCTTAATGATTCTATGATTAAAATGAGTCTGTGTTATAGCTCTCAATAGATAGCTTCTGTGCATCATCAAAACATCGTACTACCCAAATAGTACATCACAGCTCTCATGTATTTTATATAGCTAGAACTTATTTGAAAAAGAAGACATGTATCTTGCTCTTCATGTTCTCAAGGGTCTTAGATTTATTTTTCCTCTTTGTAATCTGTGTTTATAATACCTGTCTGTGAAATGTTTCAATTAAAAGGGTGTGCAGTGGTGTCTGCTGAAGGAAGAGGAAGTCATTCCCCGTATCAGAGCTATGGAAGGGCGAAGAGGACGGCCACCAAATCCAGACAGACAGCACTCGAGAGAGGAGTCACGAACGAGACGACGCAAAGGCCGGCCTCCGAATGTTGGTAGCACTGAATTTCTAGACAACACCGACTCAAAGCTTTTAAGAAAGCTCCAGGCTCAAGGTAAGACGTATGTTACTGTTTTCACGAACTGAGGATATCAGTGTGTAGAGAGTTAATGTTTTTTCTGAAGAGGAGTGATGTGTTTCACTAGGATAGTAATAGACAACATTTTATTTGGGAAATTTGTCACGTGAAGCCTTTTTCAAGATGAGTAAATGTATATATGATTCAAAGGAATAAGTCTGTGTGTAAATGTAGCATACTCAATAGTTGCTTTACTTAGAGCTACAACATTTAAAAAAGTAGACATCCACTAATGTGGTTACCACTGATGTATTTTTTAAATTGGCAAAAATGAAGAGATCCTTTTTTTCCCTTGCGTCAACTCAAACAACAGTGGATCTAGAAATTGAAATTGAGAACCACTGAAGTTAGCATTTCTGTGAAGTTTTTGGCTGTTCCAGGGAAAATACTTTCCTTGTGAAATCCCTGATAGTGACGAGATTTAAATGCCCAAAAGGTTGAATAGGATCCTATAATAAGTATTACCAATGTTGACAGTAGAACTTACATGATATCAGGTACTACCATATATCAAAGGCATGAGGGCCTGGTTTTAAACAAACATCAGTTACATGACTTACAGTTTCAGTTCTTTAGTCTTATTACTGTATCGTGTTTTCTGAATGTATGCATCCAACATGAAAAATTATTACAGCCCAGGAGTCAGGATGTGTTGTCTTGAAACTTAACTGTTCTTTCATGTGCTGTGGACATGGTCTGATGCTATTACTTAATACATAATTTTTTCCTCCGAAAATAGTACTTTTGTTTATGTAGAAAGTATCCATGCTCATTTGCTCTGTTGATGTAGTTACTGATACATGAGATAACACTATTTATGAACTTAATATTTTATTTTTTAAACAGAAATAGCTAGGCAAGCAGCACAAATAAAGCTACTGAGAAAACTCCAGAAACAGGAACAAGCTCGAGCTGCCAAAGAAGCGAAAAAACAGCAAGGTAAGTATTACTTGTAAAAGTTTGTGTATGTTAGCAGATTAGCTGAGAAGTATTAATGAAAAGTTATCTGCCTCTTGTCATGTTTTGCTGATATTACTTTTTTGTTTGTTTGTTTGTTAGCTATCATGGCAGCTGAAGAAAAGCGAAAGCAAAAGGAGCAGATAAAGATAATGAAGCAGCAGGTAAACTTTATGTGATTGCTAAAGAAGCTCGTTAAGTTATGTTTTAATTTATTGAATTAGGAGTATCTTCTTTATGTTTTAATTTATTGAATTAGGAGTATCTTATTTATTAAATTATTAACTGTACTGATTACAAAGTGACTGTTTTAAATGTAGTTTTAAAGAGCACACAGTGTGTCTTACTTAAAAATTCTGAACTCTGTAGTTGTTATTCATGTTGTCAGGACATCCCCATTTTGTCTGTGTTGATTTAAGCCACCCAACATATGTAAGTGCTTGCCAATATCAGTAAGAAATTTTAAAACTGCTATTAAATACAATGGTGTGGTCTTCCTTTACCTGGTTCTGTGAAAACAGTGTTACATCTGCTCATGTAAGTGCTGGAATAGCGTAATTAGCTTTTTCAGTGATTGTGGCTGATTGTCAGTGGTTTTAGGTCGTGTGCGAAGGGTTGTGTCTCAGTATGAGAGTGAATTAATACATGTTTGTAAACACACAAGTATTGTTAAATACTGTCCCAGCACACAGTTCCAGTAAAAGTGAGCCTGTATAAACTTTACCAAATGAAGCTACTACGTACGGAAGCAGGCTTTTAAGTTCTGTAACAACTGATTTTAACAAATTAGTGAAACGTTATGTATATTGGGAATCTGAACATTTTTAAAAGGGAATAATTTGCATCCAAAATGTATTTGCATTGCTGTTTTTTTTGTGTTTGTTCTGTTCAGTATAAAACACTGCAGAGTTTAGAAATCAGATACTTCATCTCATAGCAGTCAGAGGAAAAGTTTTTTAGCTTTCGGTGAAAACACTTCTTTTGTGTTCAGTACTGTAATTGCTTTGGGTTTTTACCCTCTTACAGTGGCAGAGAATAAGTATATAGAAACTTCTAAAACCAGGAATTGTTGACTTTGGGAGGCCAGTTCAACCTGCACTACTGTTGAATTAGTATGTGCATGCGCAGTCCAAATAGTACATGTAATTATTTTTAGACAGGAATGTATTGTTTGAATTAACTCTTAATGTTCAGTGTTCATATTCTTATTATAGTAGCATTTACAAAGGCTTAAATTAAAGGGGTATGTGGAGACGGAAAGGATGAGCATTTACTATTAAAACCAATACCTTTTATTTGTGATAGAAACTTTTACTCATATTTCCATGAAATACTATAAACATTTGCACTTCATGATGTGTTACTTTGTAGCATAATGTGTTTTTTTAGCCCTAAGTAAAATTTTGAAGTTGGATGTGGGAAGAGAGGATTCTGGGTTTGACTTCCACTGCATTCACCGCATCAGCTTCTTGGGACATTCTGTTAACTTCCTGATTTGAAATACCTCATGGCTTTCATACAGGATAAACTGAATTCTGTTTCAGGGAAAATATTCTTCAGTAGTGCAGCGTCTCCACTTTACTCTCAAAACTGGTTTCTGTTTATGTTGTTGTTCGATTGTGTTTTTTCTAAAGACGCTTTAGTTACAATTTTTTTTTAAGCTCTGGCTTTTCAGCCTGGTGTGTTAGGCTCTGTTGAGTAACTTTATTTTGCAGCTAAGCTGCATTTAAAATGCTATAGAAGTTTGACATCTAACGTTCAGATTCAGAAATCAGTAAACCAAAACATGTCTGTATTTGATTTTGTGGGGTTTTTTTTAATCTCAGAGAACTCGGAGAACTTCTGTAGATAGTGACAGCTTCAAAGCTTCCACTTCTGAAGGCAACCCATACTTGTTAAAGAAAGGGAAATGGCGCAGACTATTTTTTTGTTTTGTTAAGAGCATTGGACTTGTATCCATTCCCATCACCCTGTGATTATCAAGTGGCCTTTCAGTTCTTAGGTGTGCAGGGAGCAAGCACTGCTTCATTGGCGAATACATCAAATCCAGACCTTGTTATCATCACCATATTCCTTCTTGATGTATAAGCCGATAAAATGTTCATTATTCCAGTGTGCACAATACTTATTTTCTTCTCTGCGATATTTCTTTACTCTGATCTCTACTGAAAGGTTTGTTCTGTATTAACTCTAGCCTTTGTGAATTGAGAGTGTTGTGCATACGCTCAACTTTGATATAGTTTTGTTTGTAAAGCATCATGGGGGATAATAGAGACTTAAGGTCCATGCTGTGAGATTTGCCTGTTGAAAATAAAAGTTCAGCACTGTATAAACGAGGCCCCTGAATTAATTTGCTGGATAAAGCAGTCTTACGCTGGACTTCTCAGCAGTCGAAGGTGCTGCTAAGATTTGCCTGCAGTTTGTAAGACCTCATGAGGTCTTCTTGTGTTGGAGCTCTGTTCTTCAGGAAATTTTGTATGTCTCTCTCTTCTGCAGTTGCTCCTTTTCTGTTACATATTCTAGATTATCTTTTCTTCGGAGCTTGGCTTTGGTTTTAGTTGTTTGTTGGGTAAACTGTATATATCACATATTCAGAGTGTCCATGTTCTAGAGTCTCAGACTGGCTCCCAAGAAACCAGTGTTTCCATACAGATGGGCTTTACCCTCACCGTGGGGAAGGCAGCGGTTATGCCCGAGCAGAGCCCTGAGCTCCGTTTCAGGTTCTGATGGAGCCCTCTGGGCATGGGGGGGCTTCTCCATGGCCTGGCTTTTGCTGTTACAACTTCACAGCAATTCCAGCTGAATGTATTGCAACACTTCTCTCCATAATGGTCCCTTTTATAGTCATGGTGGCCAAAGCAGCTTTTTTGAGACAATAAAAGCTCAAATAGATGTGCTAAGAAATTTTTAATAGGAGCTTGGGTTATTACTATTTAACAGACAAAACCCATGCAGCACTGGAAATGTGGAATAACCCACAGTTTGCAATGACTGCATTTCTAAATCAACGTAATAAGACTTCATTCAGATTTTAGGAAGTAATTCCTGGAAAAGAATAAATTAGAATATGGTTACACAGCATCCATCTGTGGAGTGCTTAGCTTGATAATTTTCTTCTTATCAAGATGAAACGTGCTGAAATTACTGCCTGCGGCTGCTGTTTCCGTTCCTTTTTTGTTATTTTGTTCTTCAGCTTGAATGAAACCAACGTAATAAGACTTCATTCAGATTTTAGGAAGTAATTCCTGGAAAAGAATAAATTAGAATATGGTTACACAGCATCCATCTGTGGAGTGCTTAGCTTGATAATTTTCTTCTTATCAAGATGAAACGTGCTGAAATTACTGCCTGCGGCTGCTGTTTCCGTTCCTTTTTTGTTATTTTGTTCTTCAGCTTGAATGAAACCTAGTCCCCTGCACTACATATGAAGGCACCAAACTCATCAGCAATTACCTGAATACTTTAAAAATCTGGAGAAACTGAAGTGTACTTAGCGGTGAACACGATCCAAGTGGTGTGCGGGTGACAGAGCGCATGCTTTGGGTTTCGCAGCGCTCAGATTCTCTGTGTTGCCTGTGGTGCCACAATGGGCTGAACGGCTGCTAGAACTGAGGCAGAAAACAGTCATTTGGCAGAACCATGTGTTTCTTACTCGGGGGGATCACATCAGTCGTCACGTTTTTCATGTCATAGCTCCTTTTTCCGTTCACTGCTAAGTAGTTCCACCGTTTGAACGCTGCCAACTAACTTTGTCGTTAATGTGGTCCCCTTAAAGCTGCTTTAAAAAGCACTACGAAAAGTTAAGCACGAATACATGTGCATAGCTAAGTGCTGGTTCCTTCAGGAATATACCAGACATCTTGTAATGCTAGTGAAAATTCTAACCGTACACTGTTACATGGGAACAATTGACAACAGTGGGTGTGAGACTCTGTAACAAAAAACGTGTATGCATAAACTTGGTCATTTCTTAAAATGTAAACCAAAATTTACTTTCTCAATATTGTTTTTTTGAAAAAGAAATAACATTCTTCCCCTTGCAGGAGAAAATTAAGCGAATCCAGCAAATCAGAATGGAGAAAGAGCTTCGAGCTCAGCAAATTTTAGAGGTAAAAATAATGGCTCAAATATGATTTTTGTGTTGCCGTTGTAAAGAATGTTGTATTTTAATAGTCACACGTGCAGTTAGGAATGTAACTAAATATAACAGCTCTAACAACCTGGACCTCCAAAGGCCAGTTCAAAAATGTATCTTAAAATATTTTTCTTTAAAAAATCTATATCAACTGCGACCCAAATCTTGCAGATGTTCACTTGAGTTCCCGACTTTATATACAAATATACTTGTATTTGCTGAAGTTAACAGCGTAACTATTCCTTTGGTAGAAAAGAAGTTTGCAGTAGTGGGATGTTAAAGCAGTCTCATGCTCTGCTCTGTACGAAGTGCAGTGGATTTAAAATACTAATTTAATATAGATGCTAGAATATACCAGTGTACTATACTAGTTTGCTAGTATACTAGCAAAGATAGATTGCTAGTTCTCAAGTCCCTATTTATGGAAAAATTAATGGTAATCTCTTTGCCGTTGACATCTTATTGTTTCTGTATATACTTACTTTCTTAGTTGTAATAGCCAGGTGAAGCAGTTTTGAGTGGAACTTGAAATTCTGGCTTAATTTTTTAAAAGTACATGAGTTGTGAATGGGTTGGTTATGAAAGCTGTGTTAGGGAAGAAATGTATTTGCAATATATGTGATATGTGATGATAATTTGAACTTTTAAAGGCATGTAACTTTACTTCTAGTCAGATTATTTTCCAGTTGTGATGGTGCTGTTGTGTGCCCTCTTTCGCATGCACAGGCGAAAAAGAAAAAGAAGGAAGAAGCAGCAAATGCCAAATTATTGGAGGCCGAAAAGCGAATAAAGGTTAGTGTGAAATAAGAACAGTTATTGTGCATACTGTATGCTGATGTATAAAAGTAGTAAATTTGTAAGAATAGAAATTGCTAATGAAACTGTGAATAGCGATGAGATATGAACAGCATGTTTACATATGTTTGTGTAAACACGGGAAGCGTACACAGAGAGGTTTGTGACTCACAGAAGCACGCATACATAGTCATACATACATACACACATGACTATATGGACAGTAACTTTTTTGTGCCGTTACCATCCGTTCTGCTTACATGGTGCTTGCTTTGCATAACGTAAGATGCTCGTGCAGTAACATTATGCACGATATTCTTTTAAACAGACTGTATCAAAAAACCTCGTTGCTTCTCACCAAGCTTAGTCTTTTCTAGGCTGTACAGAACTCTTTTACAACTGTTGGAAAAGACAGCTTATATATGCACTTCCGTTCGTGCTCTGGCATTCTTGGTGTATTTTCGTGTGGAATTCCCAACTCAATAGACTCGCTGTCATGTGTACTAGGAAATAAGAAATTAATTCAGAAGTGCTGTTTTAGTGTGTCAAAAATATGCAACTTGCTAAGTAAGTTTTGATAGATACATTAAATACAGTTTTGTTCTTTTGTTTAAGGAAAAAGAGATGCGAAGGCAGCAAGCTGTTCTTCTGAAGAACCAGGTTGGTATACATCCAGTTGACCACACAGACAGAATGTCAATTGTGAACTGCTACTTAAGCTGTGGGGGGGGGAGGGTGGAGTCTTCAAAATATGCCCTTTTTAAATTTCTGGGTTTGATTCCTGCACAAATTTTCTTTCACCTTATGATTTGTTGCTTTGCTTTGGTATTGGGGTCTTTTTGGGGGATTATAAAGGGGTTTTATGACTTTGTGATTTCTGTTTCATAATGTTGTGCCAACTCTTTCTACCAGGAGTTGGAGAGGCATAGACTAGATATGGTATGGGTATGTTTATTTTTGTACATCTAACACCGCATTGTGATTTGGTTGTGATATGGTTGTCATAGCAATGCATAAAATGTAGCACTGGCTGCTGTCATATTACATACTGCTGCATGGCTTTACAGCACAGTGCATTGCATACATCTGCTTGTCTTGTCTGTTAAGGAAAAAAAAGACATGTCTTGAACATGTGTATAAATTGAACATGGCAATAAATAAACGCGGCTTTTAAACAGAAATCTACGTTACTGATGTCCCAAAAGAATTCAGACTGCTGTATAAAATCATGGATTAATTAATGCAAAATTAATCAGTAGTCAGATGACTTTTGCAAGCCTTGTCCCGTTCAGTGGGAATGAATCCAGACATTTTAAATACAATTTGAATTAACCTATTTTAGAAACCAGGATGATGTCTTTCCTAAGTTTGTAAGGTACTGAGGAAATTAGCTTTCAGTCGGTGGTAAATACATAATGTTGTAAGTATAGAGTGAAACGTTAGAATGTAATCCTAGCCTCACTGAATTGGATTATAAAATTCCCATAGCTTTTACTGGGGACAAGATTTATTCTACAGCTTTTAAGGCAAAACCCCCCTACTTAATGCTCTAGAATACGGCTCCTTAACGTGTTTGAAGTTACCGACAGAAGTTACTGAGGGCCAGACATACATAATGTTGTAAGTATAGAGTGAAACGTTAGAATGTAATCCTAGCCTCACTGAATTGGATTATAAAATTCCCATAGCTTTTACTGGGGACAAGATTTATTCTACAGCTTTTAAGGCAAAACCCCCCTACTTAATGCTCTAGAATACGGCTCCTTAACGTGTTTGAAGTTACCGACAGAAGTTACTGAGGGCCAGACATCAGTAAATGCAAGTGTTGTTGCGTATGTATATGCGCCACCACTAGCTTGATTAAAACAGATCTAGAGCTGAGAAAATCATATTAATTTGTTGCTTGGTTACAAAAATGTTAATATTTGCAGTGTTTGAAAATGACCAGTTTAAAATTTCTGCTGAATTGGCTACTGAAGAAGCAAATTGCAAATTCGGTAATAGCAGATGTAAGGTAACTGACCTGTTCCGGCCAACCATTATGCTTTTTGTTCTGCCAGCTTCTGAAGGAGCATCACAACTGACCATAAGTAAATCTGCATGCTTCTTTTTTACACTGTCTCCATGTTCATTGCTTTACCTTTTTGCTTTTGATTGTTCTTGTATTTGCTTTCTAAACCTGAACTAAAACATGCACAGACTTGGCCATTCTTGTCCTATATTTCGTATTTACTGTGACTTGTCTATTAATGCTCAATTCGTTACTCAGCTTTTTACTGGTTTGAAAATGTGGATTACTTTTGTTCTAATCCTACCTCCTTCAATAGGAACGAGAAAGGAGAAGACAACATATGATGCTTATGAAAGCCATGGAAGCACGTAAAAAAGCAGAAGTGAGTATGAACCTCTGAAAGTTTGAGGTTTTTGTGGTTTCATTCTGCAGTGATCTGTAGAAGAACAGTGTCTTTGATGCACCTGTATGTATAATTTCATTGGTATACATGGCAGTGGCAGGACAAGAACAGGCACAAACTGAAATACAGGAAATCCTGTTTGAAAACTCTGACTTTGAGGGTGGTGGTTGAACACTGGCACGGAGTGCCCAGGCAGGTTGTGGAGTTGCATCCTGCTGTAGCTGATACTGCTGGGGCAGGACACATGTGGAGATGGGGACTGGATGATCTCGAGGGGTCCCTTCCATCTGCAGTGGTTCTCATCAAGAAGCCAGTAATTGCACAGCTACTTCAGAGTCCTTTGTATTTCCTGGAAAGGAAGTGTTAGTTTCTCTTCTTCACATTGTCCATATGCATAAGAAGATCAAGGACTTCGTCACATTGGCTTCTCGGACTTGCTAGACAGGTTTTCCTCAGTACTTACCCAGGGGTAAAAAGACCTGTCTAATTCCAGTCCAGGCTTCTTAGAACCTGCAGATTTTGTAGATGATTCTAGATTTGAACCACAATGAAACCAAGCACACAGGATTGTTATGCCTTATTATTTTTAATTTTTCTCCTTCAGTAGAAACTACTGCTGTGCTTCAGAAAACAGGTGCTTCATTTCTTGTTTTGTTTTACTAAAAATATGTCAGAAATTGTGAACCAAGAGACAGAGAAGCCTAAAGTCATAAATGTGTGTGTGGCCTTTTGTGTACAATCATTTTACTTTGTCCATCTCTAAATCTTTTAAACTTGTTTTCTTTTTTGAACACAGTGCCATTAAACTGATGACAAAGTCCTGGTTGATTTAACTTTCCAAAATTTCAGGCTTTTTTTGATGCTGGACATCTAAACATCTAGATTTTTTGTTCTGTTTTGTTTCTGAAAATAAGACTATTATCAGAATAGCTGCCCTTTCCTTATGATGCGTGCTTCTTATTCTGTTCATATCCAGTTCATGTATTATGAGAATTTTTAAACCATGTGTTGTCCAGAGAGGTCTTCCCAGCTACTGCTTTCTTGAGTGGCCTCTGCTTTAACAGACGCGTATTGGTGATACGACTGTGTCCGCGGGGGCCTTCAAAATCCGACGCCTTGCATGGATGGCAGTTCTTTACCGTATTTTCACTCGTTCATCTTTCTGAAATGGTACTCCAAAGAATCTTCCAGTGTAAACATACTTACTACCCGTTTCCATGTGGACAGGAGAGAAAAAAACTGAATCTTAGACTTGCTCACAAATCTGACGATTGTGTTCTATTTCTGTAGTTTCCCCCTTCCCTTTACTTGAATGCAGGTTCCTTAATTGCTGTGGTAATTATTAAGATTACGTAAGTAGTGTTTTTCAAATTCTTAGATTGTTCCATTTTAAGTACAAGACGGGGGTTTTATTTTTTGCCCTTTTAATTCTATTTAAGGAAAAAGAGAGGTTGAAGCAAGAGAAACGTGATGAAAAAAGGTTAAATAAAGAACGTAAACTGGAACAGCGAAGACTGGAATTAGAAATGGCAAAGGAGCTAAAGAAGCCTAACGAAGATATGTGCTTAGCAGACCAGAAGGTAATCATAATTATGTAAACTTATTTTCTTGCTTCTGGCTTCTGTATTTTACCATTGTGACCACTTTTTCTCTTGCGGCCACTTCCAAAGCGTTCAAGTTTTGGTCTAAATAATTAGATAACTATTTGAAACGTATACAAATACAAGATACCACAAGCACTGAAGTAGCATATGTTTAGTTATTTAAAAGCATTTTGTTTAAAGGGGGCCTGCTTCCCAGAAAGCACTTGTGTGATTGCTTCCAAAAAATAATTACTCTTGAGTTATTTTTACAGCGGGAATATGCGTCAGCAGGAATATGCGTCGTGTCTCAGTACACCAGCGCTAGATAGAGCTTTTCTCATACCTGCAACTATTCTAAGCTGTTACTCAAAAAAAATTGTTCTCCCAGTCTTCTGTGTTCTTAGTTCTTGTCCTTCAGGACTTGACATACCTCAGGTTCAAGCCCTCTCTCTTCCAGGAATTCCCCTCTCTTTGTCTCCCACATATTTTTACAGCACTTTTTGTAGTATTTTGGCTCAGAATAGAGCCTGGAATGTCTTCTATCCAAAAAGTAAGTATTTATTAATCTCTTGCCTCCTACAATATGTGAAAAGGTAAATGTGTTTCAGCTTTAAATTAAATTTACTGGATGGGAGGTGGGGGGGCATCTTCTCTGTAGACTATCCCTTCTGGCATTCCCTAGTTAGTGTCAAAAACATTTTCTTTTGAAATATACTACTGAATCTTTCACTGTTTTTCCTCATTTTTCAGCCTTTGCCAGAGTTGCCTCGCATCTCAGGCCTTGTTCTCAATGGAAGCACATTTTCAGATTGTCTCATGGTAGTGCAGTTCCTGCAGAACTTTGGTAAAGTTCTTGGCTTTGATGTGAATGTGGATGTCCCTTCCTTGAGCGTTCTTCAAGAGGGTTTGCTAAACATAGGGGACAGCATGGGAGAAGTACAAGACTTGCTTGTAAAGCTTGTCTCTGCAGCTGTTTGTGATCCGATTTGTTACAGGAAAAAAGGTAAAAAAAAAAAAAAAAAGGGAAAAAATCCATAGTAAACACCTTATACTTATTAATATATTCTTCAAAATGTGTCTTTGACACCTCTCCGATTTGGATTTCCGTTCTCTCTCCTAACTCTTCTCTTTGTGTGTCACTGTTCTAATGTTACTCAGAGACTTTCTGTGCCCTGTCATCCTTCCCATTTTCCAGAAGTGATGTGTTTCTGGGCATTTTCTCGACCCTCCCTCATTTTAATTTGGACCTCTCGTAGAGCACTATCACATCTGTGGCCGTGCCTTTGAAATCCTTCTTTTCTCCCCTTTCATGCCTACCCTTAGGGTATGCTCTCAGTGGATCTTGCCATTTCTTGCTCCAAAGTCTGCTCTCTACATCGCTTCATCAAAACTCTGATTTATTCATGGTTTTCTTTCTTATTATCCTTCTTTTTCAAGCCAACGTAGCTCTTTTCTACTGTAGAACTCTACACAGCATGATTGTACAAAACTATATTCATCAAGTTCCCGTTGGATCATGTATTTTTTCATTTAACCTATTTTAGTAATATTAACAGTATCTCTGTTCTTGAAAACTTAGAGATGAAGCCATTCTAATCTGTTACTCTTCAAGATTTATATTTGAATAGTTTTAAAGATAAATCCTGATTAAACAGTCGTTATGTAAAAATGCAAACAAACCCACCCCATTTTTTTTATAAACAATAATGTAGCCTGCAGAGGAAAATAAGATTTTTAAATGTGATCGTTCAAAACATCTTTATTTTTTTTAGGCTAAAACTATTCTTGGGGAACACTTACTGAATGTCGGTGTCAATCGAGATAATGTGTCCGAGATTCTGCAGATACTCATGGAGGCTCACTGTGGGCAAACTGAGCTGACCGAGAGCTTGAAGACAAAAGCTTTTCAGGCACATACCCCAGCTCAGAAAGCGTCAATACTTGCTTTTCTTGTCAATGAGTTAGCATGCAGCAAAAGCGCAGTAAGGTAAGATTTTTCCTAAACAGGTCTGTAAAAATAGAACTATAAAAATGTTATAGCTCAGACGTACTGTATGCACAGTGTTCTGTTACAGGAGGATTCTTGATGTTCTTATAATGAAAGCTGGAATTTCCTAGGTTACTGCTTCTTACCTTTATGCGCTTCTGATATGATGGAAGAGTAGAACTTTTCCATGTTTGGTCTGTGAGTTTGTTTTCAAAGCTTGCACCAAAATCTCTCCAGCTATTCATGGAGTAACAGATGAGGTTGATTACAAAGAAATTTACTAGGTGTTCTAGGGAATAATTTAGAAGAGTTGTATAATGCTTCTGCAGTGCTCTGTTCTCCTGTTTTTTCCTTTTGTTTTTTTAAGACCTCTTTTGTCCAAATACTTTAATGAGGCTCATTAGTTGATCTGTCATGGTAGTAAGTCAAGAAATTGTATAATTAATCTGTAGTCAGTAATGTATAGCATTTCGTAAGTAACACCACCCTCACACCCCCTATGTTAAAAACATTTTAAAACCCAGCAATGTGCAATAAAAACTTAGGAAATGCCAATCTTTAGAATACCTATACCTCCCTGTACTTACTGTGGTGAAGTCTTTTATAATTTAATTGAGTGCTGTTTTGTTTCCTGGGGAGTTCGTGTTTTCCAAAGTTGAAAAATAGCAGGAGTGGGTAGTGCAAGTGCTGTGCACGTACAGGGCAAGACAGTTAGCGTGTATTAATCAAATTAGTCATAGTAAGAAAATTTATCTTATTGCAGATGACCAACTGTTAAGTCAGATTTGTAGAAATGATCGTTCATTGGTTTTTTATATTTTTATCATAGAAACAACTATAACCTGCTGAATTGTTGAGGCTGGAATGTCTCAGAGTGGGCTTGCAGATGGTCACTGTACTGAAGCACTTCTTTTGGTTCTTCAGTTTCTGCAGTGAAAAGTGACCGTTAGTTTGTAGATACATGGGTCCTAGTCAGAATACCGTACTGGTGAGAACTTTTTTTTCAGCACAAGGCTAGCTAGATGCTTTGTGGCAAATACATCTGGAGGCTTGACAGGGAATTAGAGATATGGAAAGAAATGTCAAATTCTTTGAATGACATGCTTCTTCATGGAAAGAAAATCTATGTGATACTGTAAATAAAGACTGCTTGACATTGGTACGGTGGTATACTGCATCAGCATTCCTAGTATTGGAATTTCCTAGCTTTAAAATTATTTATTTTGAATTCTAAACATTTCTCCAAGTTCTTTAAGACAAAGTATCTGGACATAAATGTCTGTCAGAAAAAGATATGTAAGTTCACAGTTAATGGATTATTTTATCTTTGACAGTGAAATTGATAAAAACATTGATTATATGTCAAACTTGAGAAGAGATAAATGGATGGTTGAAGGCAAACTTCGGAAGTAAGTTTTGTTTTCTTAAATATTACAATATGTTGCTTTTGTGCATTTTCTCAGATATGCTGCCATGTACACAATTGGTTCTGAGGGAGAAAATAAGCTGATACAATTACAGGTTTACCAAGAAGTTGGTAACTGAGCTGCTTAATTAAGATGGATGTGGATTTAGAATAGTGCAGCACCAGTCTTTTACAAGCTGTTAAAGATGCATGGGATTCAGAGTGTTGGTGTCCCTCCAAGTTGGAGCAAAGTCAAGTCTATTTTGTGTTCTTTGGAAGAAAGTAAAAATGTTTTATTGCCATGTTAGTGGAGCTGTCAAATGGATATTGACATTATAAAAGTTTATTTGGACCTACTATAATTACCAGTGTTCATTCTGAAAGGCATTTTAAGAAGATGTGATTTTCATACAATTTCCAATTGACTTTTGCTAATTTATATTATGTTATTGCAGTGTTTCCCATCTGTCAATGTTGCCTTGTTCCCTACAGCTAGGCATCATACATAGAATGCAAACTGAGATATTTTTAATATTTTTATTTAGGGTAAAATTGGAACTTTTAAAGGGTTGTCAGTTTCATATCCACTGTTCTCCCATTCTACAAGACAAAATTCCATACAGCAATCATAATGGCTCCAGCCACCAGGGGAAGTTAGAAGGCGTAAAGTTCATGAATCACAGGGGGTAAAAATACATAGCCAGACTCTCTCTTTTTTTTTTTCTTTTTTTTTCCAGTCATCTTTACCTCTTACTAGGAACGGTGAATCCTTTCTTAGTCCTTGCTTTAGGTGCTTGTGTTTCTAATCTTATGTCTCCCTTTTTTCCCTTTAATGTGTCTCAGAAGGAAGAAGGAAAGAAGTAAAGAAGAAGGACAAGAGGGAGGTAGAGGAAAAAAACCAGACCAATAAAAAGAAATTCTGTACTAATACTGCAGATCCCAGTCTGCACAGGATTAATACATTTTATCTTTTAGGACAATCCAAATACCTTTTCCTGTCTTCATCTGTATCCCTTCCATGGGACATAGTTTAAAAAAGTGTTTCTGAAGTTCTGATGTACCCAACTGTCCATTAGTGGAATGGGACCCTTACCTGTCCTTGTCTCCTTAGGGGCTGCTTAGTCTTTCTCTCCCTCCATCAAACTGTAAGTACTTGTAGATGTAGGATCCTCCCTTTTCCTCATGATCTCTCTTTTCTTCCCTTTCAAATAGTGGGCATAATACCCTGAAGTCCCAAGCCCCTCTTCCTTTCTACAATCATTTCTTGTGTTTTCCCCTCAGCTGTGGATTTCAGGTTCTGGTAGTGCCGTCCCTGATTTTGAGTGTATCATGGGAGTGCTCAGAAACGTTGTTCTTCCACTTCTTTGAATTCACTGGACTTGATTCATCTCTCTCCTTTTTGGTTCCAATCTTTGGATTTCCGAGTGTTTTTCTGATTAACTCCAAGAAGCTTTTTAGAAGATCCTTCTTTGATCAATTTTAAACAATGTTTTCTTCTATATATTATGTTAGTTGGTGTTTTTCATAAACTCTTACAACTGTTGTGAGCCTTCTCTGAGAAGAGATGGGTCCATTTCAGTCTTCTGTTTGGTCTTTTTTCCCTGATTCTGGACTTCATTCTTACACATGTGAATCTTCCCCATCCATTTCAAAGCTCAGGGTAGTTTTTAAGCATCCCAGTCCCCAACAGTTTTCGCATGGGAGTAGCAGGTTTCTTGACTGCTCGCCATGCCATCGATAGATGTGTATACTCTTTCGGTGTGCACACAGACCTTCGCGTGACCCTCAACACAAGCCCATCGTGCATGGGAAGTGTGCCGTGGTAGCACAGCGGATGCCAAGGAATGGGTTTGTTTCATCTCAGCCTGGTTTGGCAGTGTTTGTTGTGGTAGATCTCCATACTGCTCTGTCCAGGCTGTCTTGACCTATATCCAAGTGGGATGAGAAAAGATCCTACCTGTATCAGATGTTTTCACTAGGTGATTGCTTTGTGCTTACGTTCTCATTTTTTAATGAGACTAAATCCTCAACTGGATATCAGGGACAGGGGGACAGGGACAAGAAAAATAATATTAAAACCTGTGTTTGTAAGATACAAAAAAGCAACATTAAAATCCCAGGTTGGGAAAAGGAATCATTCTATAAAAGCCTGTAGGGATGCTTCCCCCCCTGCCCCTCACCTCCCCCCCCTTAAGGATATTGAACAAAATCCCTTGATAAGTATCATGCATATCATTGGAAACTGAATTCTGAGCTGCCTGGACTGTTTCTGCTGGTGTGATGGTCACTGAGAAGTTGCATCTGATTCCTTCTCTGTCACATTTAGATGTGAATCTTGATACTAACCGTCGTTTTTGTAAAGGCACCTGTCTCATACATTCGGTTCATCTTTCTTTGTGCTTTCTGTATCACAACTGTAGTCAGAAGAATGTCTCAGCTGAGATGATTGAGCTATTTTTTAACTAGATAATCATAATCTCAGTATCTCCATTTCCTTTACATGTCTTCTCCTTGGCATCTCTTGTAGCTTGGTCAATATAAAAAGGAATAAAAGTGAAATACAGCTACTTGAAGGATCAGGTAATATCTGCTTCTTTAGAAGACTTGGCTACTGCAGAACAGGCTTTTTCACTGCGACAATGTTCTTTTTAACATGCCAGTATTAGGGCATCCTCCCTGTAAGTTAATTTATTTCCAGTGAGGCCATCTCAGCTGTAAATGATGAGAGGATATCAAAAGCAGGGTTACGTGAGGGGAGAAATTACAGCCTGAGTTTGGGCAGGGGAGGGGTAATGCTGATTTGGAAAGCTTTAATTTTTTGAAACCCAAGATGAAGTATGTTAAAAGTGCAATATTTAGAATTTCTTTGCCTTGCCTCCTATTTAGTAATTATGTGGAAAAATTATGACGAAGGCATGAAAATAAAGTCAAAAGTTGAATTTTCCTTCTGTAATCTAGTAAACATTACAGTTTTTAAGTCACGCATCTGGTTGTCTGATGGGCCACCCGCTCTTTTTAGGGGGCAGTAGACTTTGTAACTCTCTCAGCAGTTGCCAATTTTGTTTTGGTATGTACCTGAAACTGAGAAAGTTGAAACAGTTTTCTGAGTGAAGGCTTTCTTCTCTCAGTAAGCCATATGTCTCGGTAGCTGCAGGAAAATTACACTCCCTCTTGAAATACCTGAATATTTTTTAAGTTACGCTCTCTTGGTTTCTCCCTCTACACTACTTCAGATACAGACTGCTGCCTTCTTATGCTTATGGTGCTGTTAAGAGAGAGCATCTTTGATTCGTTTCTGTCCTTACAATTTGCAGTCTTATGCAGGCTTCCTTTGACAGCATTATATATCTATTTTTGCTTTCATTTTTTGCTTCTTCTCATTTCTTTTAGGTATATTAAAGAGGTGTTTGCTGGTTCCTGAACCTCCACCTGCGCCTTTGTTATTGAATAGTCTTCAAGATAATCTTAGTCTGATTTGTCTCTAAAATTGTCCAGTTGCACAGCAGTCAATCCAATCATTGACTAGTGGCTTTGCTTGATAGTTAATTCCTGTGTATAGGCAGGAGTTTCCAGTCCAGATGAAGAAGATTTGATGGTTTGAAGTTATCCTTGTAGAAAAAAGATTTTTTTGCTAAAAAACTTAACTCGGTAGAAGCCCGAGTAGCATTGGTGCTCAGTGAGACTAAGGCTTTTTGCAGTAGACCTGAAAATGTTACTTGCTTCCAAATTCACTGGAAGGCTTGAGAAATTTTTTTAATCAAAAATATTTTAAATGCCTAAAATAGCTAAAAAATTCATTTGTATTGGAAAAGTAAAACTGTCAAACTGTGTAAATTCTCCAGTGGATTAACCACTGCATTAAAAAATCACACCCAACCAAATAAAAAAATTCAGAAAAACCAAAGCCCAAGTGTTTTCAAGCAAACAGAAGTCCCCTTGATGATTTCTTGCTAATGGTCTTTTAAAAAAGTCCTGCTACCAACTGAGCAGGGACAGCTTCCTTTAAATCTGTGCTGTTGAGTGCTGGCTTTGTCTGCCAGCATTGTAGAAGGCCGGTCCATCTGTCGGTGTGCCCAGAAGCCGGTACTTCTGCGACAGTCGTCGTACCTGTAGCCACTTGCTGTATGGAATGTTGTTTTGTAGGATGGGAAGAGAGAGAAGTATGACAAGGAAAAATTACGTGCTGGTAATTGTGTTTGTCGTTACCGTTCTACTTTTCCCATCCTGCCTTCTTCCAGTCATCTCTTACAAAAATCTTTGTCTTTTCTACCCATGTTTATTGGTCTCTTCTAAGTCAGTTGCTTTTTTGGTCTGCGTTGTAAGTGACTGGGTAGGCCTGGCTATTTACACCTCCTGTGATTCAGCATGTTTGCCTGCTAGCTCCCGGATAGGTGGAACTATAATTTTTGCTGTGTGGAATCTTGTCTTATAGGGGTTTTATAGAAGAAGAAGGTCTACTACAACCATAATTACTGGTATGTAAGTTTCCCTTTTCTTTCATAAAAGGAAGAATGAGAGTTTGATTGAGTTAACTCTTAGTAGCTCAGGTAGCTAAGATTTCTGAGAAGAAAAAGTATGTCCTAGAACAAAAAGATCAGCCAGAGGATTAAAGTCAAATAATACATAAATAATATGTAATAAACTAAAAAGACAGAAAAATCTGAAAAAAAAATATATTTTAAACCAACCTTGCTGTTGCCATGCTGATGTAAATAATTTCATACTTCTAACTGAGGATTTTGCCTTTTTTTACCCCTTCAGACACAGGTATTTGATGATCGTATTCTTAAATGCATAAAACAAAAGATAAAGAAGTTGAAAGGGTTCTTTTTTCTAATTGTCTTGCCTGACTTTTCAACATCCCTCTTGTGTTTCATTTCTTCTAAAGAGTTACACAATAAAATTCATCTGGGAGAAACAAATTCTGTTCAGAACTGAATAAGAGGCTTAAGGGGTTTCATAACCTGAATTTTTTTTCTTCACTATTGGTAATAAATACTGAGACAATACAATGTCATATTAGAAGAGCTAATTTGAATGTAAAATGTATGATTTACTTTCAGTCACATAGGAAGAAAGGTATGTTTATGCTACCGACACACTCCATGATTTCACCCCTTGTTGTGTTTCAAGGCTTAGAATCATTCATGCCAAGAAAACTGGCAAAAGAGATGCCACAGGAGGTGGTGATGGAGGAGAGGAACAGCACTCACTGGAAATGCCAACACCAGGCCGCAAACGCAGACGGAAGGGAGGGGACAGTGATTACGATGATGATGACGATGATGACAGTGATGATCAGGCAGATGAGGATGATGAGGATGAGGAGGACAAAGAAGATAAAAAAGGAAAGAAAGCAGAAGTTTGTGAGGATGAGGTAGGGGATTTTAAGCATAGTGAAACAATAATTTTTGATAGCTATTACAGTATGTGTTGGTGGGGTTTGTTGTTGTTGTTTCATTTGTTTTGGTTTGGGTTTGTTGGGGTTTTTTTCTTGCGTGCTTGTTTTGACATAGCTTAATTTCTCTGAAATTCTGAAGGTTTGTCCCAGATCCAGAGAACTGCGGCTTTGTTAGCAAATGAGCATGACTGTAGTTTTCTCTTAGAGGAGAATAAAGGTCATTTATTAGTTAACAAAATAAAATAATAAAGAAGTGTAAAGTTATATTTAACATTTTCTATTATAAAGCTTACCTGTGACCTTCCTACATTTTTTTTTTTCATAACATCTTTACTGTAGTCACTCCAGACTGTATTTGATCACAAGATGATAAATTTTACTAGTCACTATCAGATAAGATACAGGAAGGATCACTGGAACCTTTTTATCTTGTTGAGCTGAATTGTATCTACAATGGTCAAAACTTTTTTTAATGGAAGTGCCTCAGGCCTGTAAGATTCACTGTTGAAGTCTAGAATTCTTTACTGGGTGAAACCCAATAAAAAAGCAGTACCAAATACTACATTTTAGTGCACTGAGTATTGCACTGTTTGCCAGAAAATGATCCATTTATGCAAGGTTGTCAGATATCAAAGTACGGTTTTATGGGTGCTGTGGATCTGGCCGCTTGAACAATGCGTGTATGCAGTATGCTGCTTGAACTCAGATCTTTGCAAACGCTCTTCA